ACACAGCTAGTAAGTGTCAACTATCTGAGGTTGGATTTGAACTCAGGTCCTCCTGACTCCAAGGCCAGAGCTCTATCTACTGTGCCACCTAGCTGCCCCTGTTAATGACTTCTAAACTGAAGGGCTAAGTGAATAATGCATTTATTTCTTCAAACTCAGTTACTAACTGATGGAGATTGTGTTCATTCTTTGCTCTTGAAGAGGGTCAACAACATCATGAGGGTGAGATTTTGATTTGCACGTGAATTGGATTTAAGTGAGGCAGAGCTGCACAAAATCCTCAGCCTTACTCTCTTAAGAGCCAAGAAATGAGTGGCCTCAAATTGAAAGATGAGAAAATGAGGATTAAAAAAAGTTACTTCAAGGGCAGGTAGGTGGCACAGTGGATAGAGCACTGGCCCTGGAAACAGGAGGACCTGAGTTCAAATCCGATTTCAGACACGATACTTACCAGCTGTGTGACCCTAGGCAAGTCACTTAACCCTGACTGCCTCACCAAAAAGAAAAAAAAATTACTTCCAGTTTGCTTAGTTTTTATGACACTTCATTAGAATATTGTAGGACTGACTGATACGCACACAATTCAAGATAAAGATTAGACTGTGGACTGACTACAGCCTTGGAGTTCAACAAAATTCCTCTGCGTTTCTCCTTTCCACTTGGAATCAAGAAGCCCTAGTTCTAACAACTGAGCAAACATCTACCTGGTGCCTTTTGTGCCCACAGAGCCCCAGGAAGTGCTTTTCAAGGTCCCTTGTCCATCCAATCTCCCTCCCCAGTAGATGGAGGCAAACCTGATGGGTGGAACTTGTGGTCCATCCTAGCAACATGATTTGCTTGATCAGTTTCTAGACTCTAGGTCCAGGGTCCAGGGTAATATACACTATATTCATAGGAGCATATTTTAATGCCTCCTCATCTCTAAATGCCAAGCTCCTAGAAACCATTTTCATTTCACATTTACCAACTGGCTACTATGCACAAGATCCAATTTCTGAAAATGATTCTTCTACGTGCAAATGAGACATGCTGGCAAGAAAGGACCCACATTTCTAGGATTAACCCACCTGTAAAGGTGAAGAAAATCTGGAAAATAGTTCTTGCTTCCCATCCTCCCATCCGGTAGAAAAGGGTAAAAGTTAAAAATGATTCATTTGTACTCTGGCTGGTATTCCTTATTCTGTACAATTTTTCCATGGAAAAGTTGGCCTGAAATGGGCTTATAACATTTCCCCATATAATACAGTATACTTTAGAAAGGTTCATTTAGCACACATACATTGCTTCCTGTGACTTCAGTTTTCTTAGTCTAGTGTTTCATGATGTATTTCACTTGAAACACACATACACACAGGCACACACCAATAAAACAAACAAATCCACATAGCTAGTCACAATCCCTCCCTAACATAATGGCTTAAAATTACAGAAACTCAAGGTGGAAAATGGTGTTTAAAAAAAAAAAGTTGACTTTTTTTGGGGGGAGGGGTGGGGACAGAGACATATTAAGTTTGCCTCGTCAAAAGTACTTCAGTCTCCTCAACAGTCCCTCCCAGCTAGTGAACGTGAAAGCCCTTCCCTCGACAACAAATGGCCAGTCACAAGCACTCAGAGCTACTTAAGTTCAAATGTTACCAGACAGAGGGAGGTTTGGGGATACATATAGCCGAACAGCTGAAGACAGACCTTCGGAGGGTTAGGGTAGTATTGGAGCAATGGCTATATGAAATAGACTGAAGATGCAAATGTTAATTCTTTTTTCTTCAAAAAGTAGTTTCATGCCATGTTTCATTTGATCATCTTCCCTCTTCCCCCCACCTCAGAGGAATGAAACCTAGTAAGTCATGAGATCATAAAAAGCATCCAAAAAAGATTTATCTATTTTTAATACTCCCAAGTCTTTTTTGCCAGGAGACAGATTTTCCTGGCCTGGCAGGCAGTGGTAACTAAGGACACACTTGGTTAATGTTTTATGTCACAAATGCTTTGGTTTTCAAAAAATTTCACCGCGAGAAAAGTTGCTAAAATGTGTGAGCAGGAAATGTACTCCATTGGAATGATGAGTCCACTTCCCTCCTAATTTCAATTAAAGACAATTGCTTGCCAGTCAACGAAGTCATCAGCAGTTCCTCTGTCTAGTAACTTGCCCTCCCCTTCCTCATCCCTCCTTCTCCACTGCCCAAACAGAAAAAAGGCCCACAATAACAGCTCACAGTTATACTATCTTAAGGTTTGCAAAGCACTTATCTCATTTAATCTTTGCATCCCTTTAAGACAGCTACAATTATTATCCCCCATTAGCAGATGAGGAAATTGAGGTGCAGAGAGGTTTAGCCACTTGCTGAAGGTCATACAGATTATGGTAATAGCTAACCACTCATATAGTGCTTACTACGTGCCAGGCATGGTGTTAAGTGCTTTACAATTATCACATCTGATCCTCACTATAATCCTGGGAGGTAGGTGCTCACTACTCCCATTTTACAGATGAGGAAACTGAGGCAGGGGCGAAGTGATTTAGCCAGGTCACACTCTTGGTAAGTGTCTGAGGTTACATCTGAACTCACATTTTCCTGACTCCAGGCCCTGTGCTCTCTGTACTGCACCATCTAAGTTGGATTTCAAATCAGAGGGCTGATTCTGTCATGTACCACCATGATGACCCAGGACAAGACACACAATCTACTTAGACCTCACTTCTCTCCTCTATAAAATGAGGACACTGGTCTAAATCAGGTGTGTCAAACTCAAGAAGAAATGGGAGGAGCCTCTCAACCATCTATAATGATCCCCTTGAGTTTCAAAAATGTAGTTATCTATATGTAGATTTTGCTAAATATTTCTAATTACATTTTAAATTGGTTCAGGCCATATTCAAGAGCATTGTAAGCCCAATGGCCAGGCATTTTGACATCTGAACCAGCTAGGTGACTTCTAAGGTTTCTCAATCTTATGACTAGCCTAGAATTGGACAGCTATAAACTAAAACTGTACACAATGAAATGCAATTATATCTGGGCTCCATCACTACTATCAGGTATGGTTACAGCATTCTACGACAAAGAGTCTATTCCCATAAAACTTCTATTTAACACAAAAACACGAATGTAAAAAATACGATCACAGTGTAGTTAATATTGAACATTAATTGCTATTTCCAAAATTTTTCATCACATTAGAAAAATGAGATGAATTAATGACCATTTGTTTGTGCTTTTAAGTTTTCTTTTTCTTTTTTTTTTTTTTTGGCTAGGCAATGGGGTTAAATGACTTGCCCAGGGTCACACACCTAGTTAACTGTTATGTGTCTGAGGCTGGATTTGAACTCAGGTCCTCCTGAATTCAGGGCCAGTGCTCTATCCACTGCGCCCCCCAGCTGCGCCCCCCTTAAGTTTCCATTTCTAAGTTGAATGAAGTACAGCAGCTTCTTTGAGAGTCTTCTCACTGAACATCTTTTATTGCTTGTCTTTATTCCACTTTATGATTTTTTTCCCTTATAGAGTTGTGGGTAATGGCAGAATCAGAAGAAATGAGAATTGTCTAAGAATGGTTCTTTTTGGAAGTGAATGCATGCTTGCTGAATATTCAAGTTGAGTCTGATAACTGGGCAAGGCTGGGAAAGTGAGGAGGAGAGAAGAAGGAAAACAGGGGTCCCCCCCCCGATAAAAAAGTGTTGTATAAACCAAACTCACATGTCCACAGAGAGCTCTAGGCTTGTCATTCCTTCTAACAGCCCTATACTGAAAGACCTCCAAGTGCTATGTCACCGCTCTACACAGCTAATCTCATGCTAATGCTGCTGAAAATTTGGTCCAACAGAACAACTGTACAAGGTATAGGTAAAAAAAAAAAACCAAACCAATCCCCCAAGTCTCCAAAGACTAATCTAAGTAACCTCTTTTTAGACAACATTTTCAGGGGTAGCTTTCAAAGGAGAATATAAAGAAAGAGAGGAAACATCAACTAGTATAGCTAGTAAAAATGAAAAAAAAAGAGTCCTATGAAAATTTCTTTAATTTTCATTTTATGGAAATACATTTTCATTTTTATTTCCATGATACAAAAATGTTGAAAATCCAACAATGATCTGAAACAGATCTGGACTAAGGCAGATCCATAGAATTTTGTTTTTTCTTGTTTTTTGTTCTTTTAACAGAGTAAGGGCTGGTGTATTTTGTAGGTCTGTCATAGATTTCATACAAAGACACGCACACACTCTCTCTCTCTCTCTCTCTCACCCACACACAAAACTTTATCAAAAGATTTCTCCCTGCCTCATCACCCCTCCCCCCCAATCTAGATCAAGATTTAAATAGTGAATATGGGCAAAATGTATACCAAAAAATAACTCTTTCGTGTCCCCCTCTCCCACATGAGAAAATAATGTCTTGAAAAGTCACTCCACAAATCATGGTTTCAAAAAGCTGCTTGACATGTTAGGTTCATTTCTGAGCTGACAATGGTAAAAATTCTTTTACCAGAAAAGCAAGCTTGAGAATGCAATGTTTTCAGGCAGAGGAATGGGTGAAAAGCAATGAGATGGCGACAAGCCTATTTACTGGGAGACTGATGACCATGTGTTGCAATTGCCTAAAAACCCCAATATAAAAGAGATGTGTGATAACCCTGAAAGCAGGAAAGAGTTCAACACAAAATCTTGACAACAGCACAGAAGAAAGAATGCCAGCAGCTCATTCTGTACATTTCACAGCCAGCATACCATCTCAGGTGGCCCCAAACACACTTAAATTTGATTATCTGATCTAACATTTATGGACAGCAAAAGCTTCACATGACAGACAAACAAATTTAACCAGTTAATGAGAAATACATTTATGACACTCTAAAGCTGAAATGATGGTTCAATGGACAGTTAAAAAAAAACAAACTGGTTTTTCAAGAGACATACTTTGTTTTCAAAACCACGCCCACACCACATTTTATTAAATTAAATACAGTATGGCTTCCAAGTGGTGTAAGTCTGGTGATTTCTCAGAATCCGAGTCCCTGCTTTCTTCATTCAACTGTTGGCTACCATGAATCAGGAACTTCAAAGAGCTTGGCAGAACTGCTAGAGATGCTTCCTGGTGGAAAACGGGGAAAAAAAACAACCACTTTACAATCCACAGACAGCATCTTGGAAAAAAAAATTAAACAATTCAAAGCAGAGATAAGTGTATAGCTCTGGTTTGGGAGACTGGCTTTCATACCAGGGGCAGGGTGGGGCCTGCTGCATAAACCACAACTAGAAAAAGCCCTTTGGGACCATGTCTGTATTTATAGAGATTGGAGCAGGGCAAATAATGAAAAGCTGCAGAAAACCATAGTCAAAAAATACCAGAGAACTGGATTAATGGAGTTTCAGAATTGGTGGGGATTGTTTCTGTCTCTTTGCTTTTCCTTTTTATTAAAGATGTTAAAATTTTGGAGAATACAGAATATTGTATTTCTGTACTTCTAGAACCATTATATATAACCACTGGCCATTAGACAAAGGCATGACAAAGTCAGTTCTTTGTCTTTGATCAATAGAGAAAATTGTCCATAGTAACAGCAATATCATAAGGACAATCAACTGTGAAAGACTTAGCTACTCTGATCAAGACAATGATCCAAGACAATTCCAAAGGACCCATGATGAAAAATGCAATCCACATCCAGAGAGAGAACAGATGAACTTTGAATGCAGACTGAAACACATTTTTAAAACTTTATTTTTTTGTTTCATTTTGTGTGTGTGTGTGTGTGTTTTTTTTTGGCAACAAGGCCAAAAATGGAAATATATCTTGCATGACTTCACATATATAATCGATATCAAATTGCTTATCTTCTCAAGAAAGGAGGAGAGGCAGAAAAGGAGAAAATTTGTAAGTAAAAATATTTTAAATGATTGTTAATTTTTTTAAACATGTAATTGGGAAACATTTAAAAAACAAATAAAAATAATTTTTAAAATATAAGTGAACATGAGACGGGTCAAAATTTTTAGTTTCTTATCCAATGGATCTTCTGCCTAGATTTGTGACAAAGACCATACAGAAAAATGTAAAAGGCAGCTTAAAATGAGAGTGGAACAAGACAAATCCTAAGCAGGGAGAAAATTTTAGAAAGTCTATGTGAAAAAAGAATAAAAGGGTTAAAAAGTTATATTTTGGATGGCTCACTGTAACAACACAACACATTCACTTATTCTAAAAAAGATATCAGAACGAGAATACCATGAAAAAATGTCCTTTTAATTTGTTCTGCTATCACAGAAACATTATAGAATCCCAAAATTTGGTCAACTTTTACAAAAGTAAAACACAAACTGCCAAGTATTACAGTTACACACTAGATCAAAGTAAATTAAAAAACAGCTGAGAGGAAAAACAAATACAAATTACTTACATAAATTAAATATTAATTTAACACTCCTGAAATTTGTAGCTAATGTTAGGTTGGACAACAAAGTCCATTATGCAGGTATAAAAAATGTATCAGAAGGTAAGAGATATAATCACATATCATGGAAGTCATTCCAAGATAAGAATGAACAGTGGTGTGTAGTGTGTGGTGGAAAGAGGCATGGACTAGGACCTGGAGGTTGAGTTCCAACTCCAACATTTATTAACTGTATGATCTAAATCAGGTAATTTGGCTTCTCTAAGCTTCAATTTCCATATCAGTAAAATTGGGGTAAATAAATACATGCGCTATATACCTTGTGGGACTGCTTTGTAGATCAAACACTATATAATGTAAAGTATTATTAGTGAACCAATCAGTGTAAATTACAATAACTACACCTTCATTATGAGAGCCTAATTTACCTCATTGTGAGTAGGGAAGTTTCCCCTCAAGTAGGCCAAGACTTAGTTATTTCTTAAAGTTTAATCATTAAATGAAACAAAGTCAAGTGGTGACAAACTCAGGTTTGAAAAATCCATGTCTCTGCCTCCTCTTTCCTCCTCACCCCCAATATTCTACTCCTAAAGCTTTAAGCTTTCTCTGTAACACTTAGAACAGAACAAAATAAATATCTCCAGGCCATAAGGAAGGAAATTTTCTGACATTAAAGATCTATGTATTTATAAAAAGTGTATTAAAAGTTATTATTTGTCCTTCATTCTCAAAGAGGACCAATGACATCCAGAAGGTGATGTCTTGACTTGCAAGTGAACTGGATTCAAGTGAGGCAGAGCTGTGTAAAGTCATCAGCCTTACTCTCCTCCAGCCATCTGAGTCCAGTGTCAAGATATAGATCAGGATGACTGGAGATGGCTCAGATGCAGTGGGAGACCCTGGCCTTTTTAAAACTAAGGTCTTTCCCAGGTCTCGTTTGTCTGAGGGAACACCCATTCAGTGATTAAGACTAGGTAAGAAATGAGCAAAACTAGGCCTCTTTCACTTACTCCAAAAAAGAAAAAAAAATCAATTTGAGAGGGGAAGACCCACGGGGTTTCTGACCAAAACAGAAACAATTGCTATTTACACTCACTTTTAGCCATCAAAACCCAAACAACGATCAAGTGAGGCTTAGGCTAAGACCTACTTGGCCAATCAGTGAGAGCCAGAGTGATCTGGGTTTTAAGGCATGGTCAAGTAGCTCCATTTGAATTCCAACAGGCTTTATCAAAGCCTGGTTTTCCAGTGCTGTATTTTAAGAAATCATAAATGAAACTACAGGGAGTAAAATAGTTAACTGTCCCAGGTTTTTTTTTTTAATTTAATGACAGAATAAATAAGTGGAGAAGAGAAAAAAAAATTAGCCCATAAATCCCAAGATATCTTGTGAGGTTTCAATGATCAAAATTTATATTCCTTTGGGTAGAGTGCCCACAGGTAAGGATATGATCCCCATGTGGACAGAGGGAGAGAAGGGAAGAAGAGAGGAAAGGAGGAAGGAAGGAAGGAGCGAGCAGTGACCAACTGCAACTGGCCAGTGGGGTCTCCAGTGGAGCAGCTACTACTACTACTACTCACAGACTGTTGTTTGTCCTTCCTTCTTGAAGAGGACCAATGACACCAGGAAGCTGATGTCTTGACTTGCAAGTGAATTGGATTTAAGCAAGGCAGGACTGTACAAAACCACCAGCCTCACTCTGTCCTCCAGAGTCATCTGGGTGCAATGGCAAGACATAGATCAGGACCACTGGAGATGGCCCCCAGTATTAAAAATACACTCCATCCCCACAAAGATATAATGCCTCCCTGTCAGCATCCTGTAGACTCAAATTGATCAGCCTCATATCAAGATTTCTGATTTCCATCATTCTGCAAGGTGGGTCACCAACACCATTTGCTGAAATTAACAACAGTTGGAAATCACCACAAGCAGAATGGGTTTGAATTCATCAACCATTAATAAAAATTAGACATAGAGGTCTGCAGACCTAATAAGTACAACTTGCATTTGTAGAGATAACGTGAAGTGCTTTCCCCACAGCAACCCTTTGAAGTAAGTAGTTCAAGCATTACTAATCCTGGCCTCCTAAAGAACAAAGGACAAACAACAACAATAATGAACCAAAAGACAGGGTCAGATAAATTCAGTGACTTGGTCACCTAGCTAGTCAATGTCAGAACAATGATTCAAACCCAGATTTCCTAATTCCAAGTCTGGCCTTTCCACTACAATATTCTTTATACTTTGAGAGAGATCTATAATCTTGATGTGAAGACTTGTACTGATCAACCCATCCACATATTCTCATCTTACACAATTTCTCCAACAAATTCACATAAAAAAAATCTTCCAAGTAGGTAGAGAGCTTCTTCTTGGTTTTCTTTCTTTCTTTCTAGAAAACACTCCATGGGTGCATCATTGAGGTTGTACAACTGTCGTTACCTGCGACATGAACAGTCTACCTCCTTTTCATTTATACTTCGCTACCATCAAAGTAAATTAGGACAACATAAGTGATACATCTACTTCATCAAGTCTGGAAAGAATTAGAAGAGCTAATGACAACTTTGCTAGAAGTTTTTTTTTTTTGGCCAAGTTTCAAAACTGCCCTACGTCACCTTTAGTGTGGCTCTAAACTTACCCATGAAATCAAAATCACTGCACATCTGGGAAGGTAACTCTCTGAATACATGGAAATGCCCATTTTAGGTGGCAAAACTGAATAGCTACATAGCCAAGAATGGTGCGTCTGATCAAGGTACAAGAAAAATTTAACCGATAAGTTACAGTTTTAGAGGCTACCTACTTAGGGCTTACTTTTGAGACTTAGACTAAAAAAAAGAGGGAAAAAAAAAAGATGAACCCAGCTAGTTGCCTGTTAACTTTCTTCAATCACATAAGAAAGAAGTACCTGAAACTCCTGAATTTCCTAAGTCAAAAACTGAAACAGTGAAGAGTAGGTCTTCTTGGAACTGTATTTGCACAGGCAATATTTTACAATTAGGCAAAGACCTATTTAAATAAGATTTTCAACACCCATCCACCCACCCAATCAATCATTCTTCCTGAAATTATTTCTGTCTCTGGTATGGGATATAAATTTAAAAAACCAAACTCACTATACTAGGATTAGGAGACCTTGGGCTCTATTTCTTATTCTGTCACCAACTACTTTGGTGAAGCTATGTACACACTGCTTCTTCATTCTAAAATGAACACATGTGATTCGATGGCCTCTGAAACCCTTCCAACTTCAGAACTATGATGTTAAATTCTGTTATGGATACATATTATGCACGTGGCCTCAGTTGGATAAGTCACCTTCTCTGGGCCTGTTTTTCCAACTCCAAAGAAGGGGATGGATTAGATGCTCCTGGGATTCTTCCAACTCCACATCTATGATCTTATGATTGTATGATTTCTAAGGTCTCTCCCTGTTCTATAAATTTACTTCAATCTATTTACTCCTCTGATCAAATCTGAATGTTTGCTTGAAAAAGGGGAAAACACAAAGGCAGAAAGACTTTTCCCACAACTAATGACTACCTTCCCTGCTAAACCAAAATGGAATTTAAAAAATTTCCAAAATTGACTGACTCAATAAGCATTTATTAAATACCTCCTATATGCTAGACACTGTGCTAAGCACTGGAGATGACAAAGAAAGGCTCTAAGATCTCAAGAAGCTCAGTTTAATGGGGGAGACAACATACAAACAACTACTAAAAATATGATTCAAAAAAAGGCCAATCTTAGACCCTATCTTTTAGTTAGTAAGGTCTCCAAGGGACCTCATTATAAATCATTATTTCCCCATGAGGGTCCTACAGCATACACCTCCTACAGAGTGCTATAGCAGGTTCTAAGAAGCTCTAGTACATCACCAAGCAAAGAAGAGGCCCAAGCATGGATTTCAACATGCAAGCTGCTATTTGCTTCACAAACTTCTTTTTCAATATTTAAGCTGTAAACCACTCCTAATACAGTCATTAAAAATTTTCATGGGAGGTAAGTGAACTCCTTTTGCCTGGCCTTTCACATGACTGACAGCAACTTATTTAGAACTTATTTCTAACTTTAATGAAACCTGTAACAGTATCTGAGAAGATTATTGCTTTAAGTGGATTCTAAACTTTTCAGTGTAACCTTAAGGGCATAAGATTTAAAAGTTCAGCAGTTTTTCCAAGACTCCAATAAAACACGGCTCTTGGCAAATATTAAAGGTCTAATGTATCGTGCTTTTTATGTGTGGAGTGGGGCGAAGGAAGGGAGAGAAGAGCTCCAAACTTGGAACTGGATTTCTCTTTTTACATTAAAAAGTTTAACCATGAACTGTATTTTGGTATATTTTCTCTTTGAACTCAACTGGAAATTTCTCCAAAAAAGGATTCTATTTCAGCAGTATCCAAGAAATTTTGATGCCTGTCAGTCTTGTCATAATCTAGTTGCCTTAATACTCATGTAATTTTTTTGGTAGACTGTAATAATAGGAAGGATGGTCAGGAGATGGTTATGGTGATAGAAAGATGAGGATATGGAACTACAAAACGCCAGGTGAAAATCACTCAGCCTGTATATATGCCATATACTCATGACTGATTCACCATATGGGTTTAATGGACTGGACAAGCCCATCCTATTGAAAGAAATCTTAGGAATTACATTTCCTAGATACAAACATAAATTCATACTACGTGTAGCTGGACTGTTTTTCTTCATTAACATCCAACTCCAAAACAGTATAAACACTGTACCTCGAGCTCTTCTGAGGAAAAACATAATGAGACTAATAAACCAATACTGATTATAATAAATACAAAAAGGGAACTTATTGTTCTTTATACACCTCCTTCCTGTGAATATAAGGAATGAGATGTACAAATCCTGAACCATGAGCTTTTTATAAAAGCTTATTCATTCAACAAATTTTTAGAGAGAACTGATATTAAAAAAAAAAAGGTAGTGGTTCTAATAGCTGTGAGGATACGAAAAGTTTATTTTTTCTTACCAGCACAGTAGGAGGAAATACCTTTGTAAAAAGTCATTCTTTTTCTATTATATTTTTGAATATTCTTTCTGTACATTTAAGTGATCTTGGTACCCATGGGAAGTGGTATGATAAAGGAAAATAAAGGTTAAGTCTTAATAGTCAAAATATTTAGGGCTAAATCTAGTAGGCAAAATACCTAGGTTCGAATCCTGGCTTGCTGACCTCAGGAACCTCAATGAGTTTCCTACAAGAGGAGAATAAAAATACATGCATTATTTGCTTCAGGAATAAAATGAGATAATGCATATAAAGACTTATAGAAACCAGTTATCAAGGGGCAGCTAGTGGCACAGTGGAAAAAGCACTGGCCCTGGATTCAGGAGGACCCGAGTTCCAATCTGGCCTCAGACACATAACACTTACTAGCTGTGTGACCGTGGGCAAGTCACTTAACCCCACTGCCTAACAAAACAAAAGAACTCAGTTATCAATATTAATATTACTGATTTCATAACAAAGCCTTTTAAAGTAATACTCCTTTTATAATAAATAAAGAAATAATTTATTGACCTAACTGTAGGATACAGAATTAGAGCTAAAAGCTCTAAATGACCTTTAAGACATGCACCATTTTGCAAATGAGGAAACCAAGGCCAGGAAAGGAAAAGGGACTTGGTTCAGAGTCAAACAAGTGGCAGAGGCTGGATTTGAATTTAAGTCCTCTGAATTCAAATCTGGTGCACTATACCATGTAAATATTACTAACTGAAAAGTACCTGGCTCATAACCTTTACACACATATAAGCTACTGAACATTTCAAAAGCTTGAGATTTGTGAGATTTGCTTAGCAACACTTCTTTCACTATTTCAGTTATGCAGAATTAATTACTAAGAAGTGTATGTAATTAACTTGTAGAGAGGGACCGTGTCTTACACTTCTTTTATAGCAGTACTACAAATGAGTGTTCAGTATACAAAGAATCCTCCTTGAATTCTGGTAGAATCATTCCCAGGCTAAGCTTAAACTCCTCATCCTGGAATTTCTCCCATCTGCTGGGCTCTTACAGTTTATGGAACACTGAGAACGCCTTTGAGTTCTGTCCTCAGGCTTCTTGATGTGACTTCACTTTGTTCGTCACAACAGGGGTATTAAAAAAAAAGCTGCTCTAATACTGAACTTATTTGCTTTAGAAAGCTTAACACAGACTATTAAGATTGTTTGAACTTGGTAGTTTCACAAAGTTATAGTGCCTTATGACAATAATTGAGTAATTAATATTGTTAGATTCAAATGTTAAGCATATGCTATCACTGACCCACATCTTACTGATTACTGATACTAATAGGATTAAATGCTTAAATAAACGAGGTGAAAATGATTCATTAAACTGATGTACTTGCACTGTTAAAAGGTTTTATTCTAAGAATGGCAATCCAGAAGAAAACGCAAGTCCCTTGATATTTAGCCAATTCAATTAAAAGTTGTCAATTTCTTAGACTATGACAGCTTTATTGTCAATGGGAGAAAAACATATGCTTTACTTGCAGTATTATAGATTTGAAATCCTAAACAACCTAGAGAATGTTTTCACTTAAAACAATAAAAGCAGCAAAGAGAGTTAATTACAGGATTCTATTAATAGGAATTATTTTTAGTAGCTTCAAAGATTATCCAGAAATGAACAGAAAAGGAATTGAAAACTTCTCCCTGGGAAGTGACAAATAAATGGACAAGTTCATTATGCAGAACTGAGAAAAATCTAAGGAAAATTGAGATACCAAGAGTGGAAACACAAATAAGAAAACCACATGAAGAATCTTACTGGGTAGAATACCGAATACTTAATAGCTAATCAGTATCGACAATGAGATAGGCAGGAGGTGTATGCTACTTATGCCAAAGACTGTAAACCATACAAACGCACAAGATTTTTTTTCCTTTTTTTTAAAATGGCAAGTAATATGAGAAGCAGAGATAAGTTTCCTGAGCTAGCTAGGATACACAATCAGGGTATGCAGTTTGTGTTACAGTTTGATTCAATTAAGCTTTACCATGATAGATTTAAAAAGTACATGCAACATTATGGCTTCGTTGCTGATTTCATTAATATTAATGAAATTTAATTAACCTCAAATGTGAAAAGGAAGATGGATAAGAATTATGTCCCATGTCTACAACTAAAAAACCACAGCAGTATTTAATATGCATTCTTTCCTCTATACTTTCAAAATATAACTGGGATTTTTTGTGGTGATTTTTAAAAAAATTCTGTGCTGAATCTTACAGGTACAATTAAAAATATGTCTTAAATCTCTCTGGTCTCATGAGAACTACATAATATGTCACAATGGTTCTATGATCCCTCCCCAAACTCATAAATTTATATAAGGTTCAAGGTTGAAAAAGTAAGCTCTGACCTTTAGCAAATAATACCTACCGGCTGGAGTGAGTTCTTTCTTCATTTTTTTACATTTCTTGGCTTTTTTCTTCCCTTCTGTAAGGGACTCTGCAGAGGAATCCATCTGATCAAGCTCACAGTCTGATATTTCCACTGACTCTATGTCTTCAGAGCCAGCTTCCTCTTGAATGGGGCTCATGTTTCTCTTTCCTACTGTGCTGGTAGCTGTAAAACTGAAATTTAAAAAGGGAAACAACACAAAAGGTGTCAGTTATTTTTATAAGCCAATCTCTTACTTTTTAAATACTCTTACTGACAATAACACTTAATCAGCAATCAGCAAAATGGCAGCTATCTGCACCTGAAAATTAAAGACATTAAATAATAAAATCTAGGAGCTTACTACTTAGAAGATATATTCAGAAGAGTTGGTTTAAAAACTGTGAGTATATAAATATACTTCTGTATCAATATATAGGCACAAAATGCTTCCAGCAGGCTTTTAGAAAATGAGAGAATATCGTGGTGCAATGGGAAGATCAATAGACTTAAGAGTCACAAGATCTCAGTCTGAATCTTGACTCTCTTCCTTATTGTGTGACCTTGGGTGAGTCACTTCATATCTCTAGGCCTCAGTTTCCTTGACTAGAAAATGAAGGGGTTGGCCCAGATGATCTCTAAAGTCACTTCCATCTTTAGATCCATTATCATTATAGTTATTGTGATTAGAGCCATTTCAGGAAAATACAAACTTTAGATTAGGATTTAATATCAGTATTGTTGAATATACCAAGGATGATAATTTAAATGGGTATACTGTAGAACTGATATACCCTAAAATGCTGTAATAATATTGCTTGTGGATTCAGACATATAATGTCTCTTGAAATACAATTACATGCAAAAAGCATATGCCATAGTTCATAACAAGGGTCAGTTCTATCTTTCAATATAAAGCTGTACTAGAGATTGCCCCAAGGTTATGAAAAGAAAAAACCAAAACAAAATCAAAAAAAGATTTATGCAATGAGGTATGCCATATAATTAAAAAAAACCAAAAAACCAAAACAAACCTACAAAGATATCCTTGCTGAGAACAAAACTTTTCTAAATATATCTTCTGAAAATATGGTTACCTGATTATTCAAACTACTTGTACATTCAAATCACCTCTGAAGCCACACTGGACACATTTCATTCTTTTGTGATCATGGAAAAGAGAAAGGGAATTGTTTTTCCTGATGTATTCAGGAGGTGGCCCTGGGTCTTTGGAATGGAAAGCAATGAAACCTTCTGCTTATAGTTTTAAGAATTAGTTACAAACCTAGAAATTATTACTGTTTCACCTCTACTTATAAAACCTTTTGGAAATTTTCCTCTTGTAGAGGTATTTCAGAAGAAAGTTAAGATGAACAGAGGACAACATAGATTCAAACCAACTCACTCCTATAGAACTCAGAATATTATAAACTTTGGGTACTTAATATTTTTAATGAAATGACTGCAGCAATAATTCACAACAGGGTGATTAACACTAAAAATTACTGTAGGCACATAATAAAGGAAAACCTGGCTAATACCAAGTTGTCATTTAGACAACTAGAGAAAAAGGCAGAAGAATAACATAAATAATAATGTAGCTAAGATTGTATACCAGTATTAATAAGTATATCAATGATCACAAACTGCTCACTACAAAAAAATCATTTACGTGTGTGTGTGTCTAAGTATATTTAAATAAAACTACAAGACTACAAAATCATGGAATGAACTAAAAAAAAAAACCACACACACACACACACACACACACACACACACACACACACAAAGCCCCAAGACTCAAGACAAATCTTAAATCTAGCCGGTCTAATAGAAAAATACAACATGTGATAATCAAATGCTCCTATTATTCCTCTGTATCCCCTAGATAATAAAAGAACAAGAAGAAGGTCTAGCTTTCCTACGCTGGGTGGATCTTCTACAGAACATCTGATGGAAAACATGAACAAAAATCACAAAGGTTTGGATGGCAAAGAGAGACGCAGGCAGAGAGAAGGTAAATGCAGTGCCCAGGGTCATAGAAGCCTGTGTCTACGGTTGAATTTAAACTAAGGCTTCCCTGAAATCAGGCCCAGTGCTCTATCCACTGTGACACCTAGCAGCCTCAAAGCACCACAGTACAATAAGAATGATAGTTGGAATAATTTAGAAAATTGAAGGGATGCTGAGATAGAGCTTTTTAATATTCAACTAATGCACCAGTCTTATGGCAAACAGATTGTTTCCTATTATTTTAGAAGACTAATATAAATTTTCTATTCAACAGCAACATCACAATAACATAAAACAGCAAATAATTCAAAGTGGATAGTATGTCAAATAGTAGCTATTCTATGAAATATAGGGACTAAGAAACCTCAGGAGAATGCTCCAAGATTTGAATATTTTTGGTAACAGAAACAAATCAATTAAGAATTAGACTTCACCAGTATAAAAAAAAGTTATCTTGAAAATATAGGAAATACCTGCCTTAGTCATAGTTGTTAGTTCTACTCCAAACAAGACTTCAATAAATGTTTAGGTTGGTTACCTAAACATTGCCAAAAACTTAGAAGACTGAGATATGACTTAAAATATTTACTCTGAATTTTTAGAACCAAATCCCTGCTTTTCTGGGCCTATAGAAGTTTTCCAAAATCTGGAAGGTATTTTGGGATCTCCACAGATATGGCAGCTTTGGTCTAGTTTCAAAAAATTTCTAAAGCACAACTCTAACCATTACACCCCAGATCCCAACTCTAAAAACTCCAATGCCTTCTTATTACTTACCTTCATGATCAGATACAAAACGCTCTTTTTAGCTTTTAAAACCTTCATCACTTGGCTCTTTCTTACTTTTTTTCTCCTCATAACTTCTCCTCTCTACCTATTCTGCCATCCAGCGACATTGGCTTCTTCTTGTTCTTCTCACATGACACTCCATGTCCCACCCAACTCCAGGCATTTTCACTGGCTGTCCCCCATGCCTGGATCAAAACATCATCTTGGCCTTCTGGTTTCCCTGGCTTATTTCAAGTCTCATCTGCAAGAAGCTTTTTCCAGTCCTGCTTAATCTTAGCACCTACTCTGAGATTAACTACAATTCACTCTGTACATATCTTATTGTACAGAGTTGTCTGCATGTTGTTTTACCCATTAAACTGTGAACTCCTTGAGATAACAAGGTTTGTTTTTTGACTTTTTTTTTTTTTGCTATAAACCTTAGCACAGTGCCTAGCACATGGTAAACGCTTCGTAAATGCTCATTGACTTGATTTGACCTGGGATTTCAAATGCAGAGATAATAATTGTACAAAAGACTATGGTGGGCAGCTAGGTGGCTCAGTGGATACAGCACTGGCCCTGAGTTCAGGAGGACCCAAGTTCAAATCCGGCCTCAGACACGTTAACACTTACTAGCTGCGTAACCTTGGGCAAGTCACTTAACTCCACTGCCTAACCCCCTTTGCCCCCCAAAAATACTATGGAACAAGTCTTGCAACCCTTAGTTATAATGTATGAAGTTCTATTGTAAATCATTAGGTTCCAGGACCCCCAATAGAGGTCTTGCCAGATATGGCAGTATAGCCCTACATGCACGACAAAAAGCCGGCAAACCCCCTGACTTTTAAACAGACTTGTAAAAGGGAAAAATTCAAAAGTATTTTAAAAAATAGAAAATAACACCAGAACAAGTACTATAGATTACTGAGTAAAAGACAGAATCTTTCTGGGAACAGTCAAGAGGCACCTGGGAACAAACAGGTAAAGGATGAGTATGAGAAACTGAAAACTGTATTAGAGACTTTGCAATACAAAATAAAACACCATTTTAAAGTCTTGAAATGCTATTGGATCATAAAAATGTAGAAAGCAGAACAGGAAATTAGAATCACTAAAGATGCAAGGTCATGAATTTTGCTTGACAGATAGCCTGTTATGAATGTGTGGTACACTGTCCCACAAAGCAGAAGATATCTATAATGGTGAGAAACCCATGTGTGATATGGAACTGAAAGAACAGCATTACAACCTGAGACTTGATGTGACCCAAATGTAATTTCCAGAGTTCTGCTAGCAGTCAAGAATGTTTCAAATATTACTGTCTAGGGAAAAAAAAAAGATCTTCTTAGGGGAAGAGTTATCTCCAAAGAATTAGAAGAAAATTGTGGCATAAAAATTAGAGTTCCCAAATTTTAAGGTTTCTTTCTTTTTTTTTTTTCCAATCAAGTTTTAAGTTCACCGGGTGTCAGAACAGGTACATAAAACAAATAATACTATAATCTTCCCAGCAGATTATATCTTACACACAGACACGAAACTCCCACACCCACTAGTTTCTTTGAAGCAGCCAAAGAGCTAATGCAATCTTAGGCTGCATAAACAGTTGGGGGAGGGTTAGCAGAGAAGGTAAAAAGGCAGATTTTGGCTAATTAAAACAAATTAAACATTTAAGAGCTTAAAAAAAAGGAAATTAAAAGAAAAGAATTAAAAAGCTGTCCAGGGAAACCTAAACGTATGCCTTCTTTTAATCTCGACAAATTTCCCATGTAGTAAGCAGAAAGTGGTGCAGTAAAAGAGTGCTGGAGTTAGAGACAAAGAAATTGGACTGAAACACCAACTCTGCACTAATCAGCAGCAGCTAGGTGGTGCAATGGATGGAGTGCTGGGCCTGGAATCAGGAAGACCTGAGTTCAAATTCCAGCCTCAGACACTTACTCCCTGTATGAGCCTGGTCAAGTCACTTACACTGTCTGCCTCCGTTTCCTCATCTGTAAAATGGGGGTAACAACAGCACCGATTTTGCAGGGTTGTTGTAAGAATCAAATGAGACAACAATTGAAGAGCACTTAGCACAGTGACTGGCACATAGTAAGCGCTACATAAATGTTAGCTATTACTTAGAATCTGTATGACCTTTTGCAAGTCATTTAGCCTCTCTGAGCCCCAGTTTCCTCATCTGTAAAATTAAGAGTAATGATCTAGATTAATCCTCATCTACTTCTAGATCAATGATCACTGCATGTACGTGTACGTATATATACATACATGCACACATGTATATAGGGAACACTGTATATGGTATATGCAAATACACATCAATGATCATACATACACACAAACATACATATATATATATATATATATATATATGTATATGTATATACACACACATACAAGGTGTAAATAGTTA